GACCACTGACTGCCATGAGGTGTCCCAGAGAGTCTTTACATTAGTCAAATTCCCAATTTCACCTTCTGCTTCCTTCACATTGACTTGTTTTCACTTTACTGAAAATATTTAGGTAGAAATAGAAACATCAAGTTACAAAGGGTTAAATTTCATGGAGAGGAATTGATAAAGGCTTCTTGGAGTACAGAGGAGTGGATTTCAGCTGGAGAAGCAAGGAACACTTAAAGAAGGAAGTACCACTTGAAAGGGGACTCCACCAGGTTGGGAAAAAGGGCATTCTAATGGAGGGAACAGTGTTTTATCAAGAAGTTTTGAGTGTCATGTAGAATTTGGGTCAAAGGACTTGAAAATGAATACAGGGAATTCCAGGGAATTACTATTGCAGTAATCCAGGTGTGATGAGGTGAAAATATGAATGAACAGAGTAGTAGGTAAATTGGGTGAGATGAGTATAAGGTGGGTCATCTCCCAGGTATGTTCTTTGAGTCTTTTATTTGCTGATATGAATTTTCGACTTCATTTTTTAATGACCAAGGTCACACTGATTTCACAACTTGTCTATGCCCATAACCTTCATCTTCAGTTCGTCGCCAGTTCAACAATACACAGTGGATACAGAAGGAGAGGGGTTTGGGTCAGGAGGAGGTGAGGAAGAGAGGAGTCGGGGATGATTCCTTGACATCTGGCTTGGGCCAGTAGGTGATAAATGATGTCACTCAGTGAGGCAGAAAATACAGGTAAGTGAAGCAAGTTTGGGATAGAAGAGGAATTCACATTTTGAGTATGCTGATTTGAGGAATCCAAAGAATTTATAGGTGATGTTCACTACATAGCTGAAAATAGAGGTCTGCACTAATTAAGTGAGATAAACGTAACAATGTAGCAAAAGGTGTGATACACTGTAAGTACTTAGTTGTGGGGATTTGCTAACAAAAGAATTAACCCACCTTTTGTTTTTACATTAGTGGTGACTTACTATTATGTAAAATGTAATATTGCCAAATTACACCTCCTGATTATGTAGTATCCCCATTTACAATGCTGTATGACTCTCAAAAATCCTTAGCCTGAGTGAAGCTGGTGATTGTGATAAGGGTGGTGATGGTGGTACTGACGATAATAGCTACAATATACTAGGGTGCAGTCATATGTCCTGAACAGGTAGAAACTCACTGAAACCTACTAATAACTCTGTGTGGTTGGCATTGTGAACACCTCCATCCCTTAGATAAGGAAAATGAGACCATGAGAGACTAAGTAACTTGTCCAAAATTAAACAGTATGTGGCAGAGCCTATATTTGAACTTGGTCTAGTTCCACGACTCCTGGTCTTAACCACTGAACAACAATTAATTTGAGAAGCTAATTTTTAGGTAAAGGAGGGTCCAGTTTTGAGTACTCAAGGGGTTGGGCCTTGGAAGAAAAAATCCCAACTAAAGGCAGTGAAAGCATTTGCAGGAAGGTGGTTGAAGTGATAACTCATGAGATCTGCCATAGTTAGGGAAGGGAAAGGCATGTGGGTGGGTGAGGGTATGGGCCGGATGTATCCAATTGAGCAGAAAAACCAAAATTGAGCTCTAGGAAATAGATGCTTCCATTTAGGAAGCACTGATTCTGGACTTGGACTTGGTCATTCTCTTACATAAAAAATGATTATTTAGTCTGAGGGGTTTACGTAACCTTCCTTTCTGCTGAAGTTTGTAAAGGGTAAAAAATAAATTTTATAATTCCCCTAGTAACTGACATCAATTTGTTTTAAAAGTTCAGGCATAAGAAGCGCAGTTGCCTCCTGAAAAGATGGCCATGGCTTTACCTCAGATGACCTGCCTTCATACCCTCTCCCCAAGGCAGAGCACCTCAGAACAGTGGCCACAGATAAGCAGCGCTAGCATCATCTGAACATTCTGGAAACGCAGCTTGTTGAGCCCCGCTGCAGACCTCCGGAGTCAGACACTCTGGGGCCCACAGACCTGTTCTAACCCGTCTTCTAGCTGATCCTGATGGTCAGTCAAGGTTAAGAACCTCTACTGTCTCCGAGTCAGTTCATTTTAAGAGAAGGATGCATCACACACTTGTAATCAGGTAGAAATAGGATCAGTGAAGATAATTGTGGTGTCTGAAGCACTGCACAGATAACAGTTGCTATTATTACCCTAAGCTGTGCACACACATTTAGGCACATTTCACATGTCCAGCTGCTCTCTGGCTTACGCACGACTTGTCCATGTAAGTGCTCATTCCTTTCCTCGCCCAGCTTCGGTTCCCCTCCCACCTCTATCCAGTGCTAAGGGTGTTGTGGGAAAATAGATAGATTTTAGACAGTTTATGAATTCCGAAGTAGAAGGATAGAAAAAACCATGAAAAAGGCCTCGTCTGCTGTGTTACTAGCAACATTACATCTGTAACTAGAATTATTGTCCTTCTCTTCAGGTTGATTTTACCCAGATGTCAAATTCAGTGGTTAAACATTTCATTCATTCGTTCATTCATTCATTCAACAAATATTCATTGCCCTGGAAGGGGGTGAACTATCCAGACTCCTTGACCTCATCAAGCTTACCTTCTACTGGAAAGCAATGAAAATAAATATATGCTTTGTTAAATACCGTGTTTCCCTGAAAA